TGGAAAGTAAGTTAGGAGGTAGGAAGTCTGGAAAAGGGATATACACAGGTTTTGAGTGGGCAAGATTTAGCAGATATCATGGCTAAGTTTTCTCTATGCCAGGAAGAATTGAGAAGTAGCATGCTACTTCAATAGAAAGAGATTGCAAAACATGGTGGTATGTAGGGACCAGCGTGTCCTGATACATGAGTCATGTAAAGTTAGTATTCAGAAACAATGATTAGGAAAGCAAATGGAATGTTGCTTATTTCAAAGAGAATTGAATCTTAAGAATAGGGGAACATTAGTGCAGTTGTACAGGATATTGATGGGACTACATAGAGTACTCTGTACAGTTTTAGCCTCCTTATGTGAAAAATGTTATTTTTTTGGAAGCAGTTCAGACAAGGTTCATTTGATTGCATTCCCAAGATGAAAGGGTTGTTCTATGAATGGGTTAAGCTCAAAACCATGAACAGGTGATCCTAATGAAACGTATCGGGCGACTGTCTTGTGTGGAGTTTGCACATTCTCCCTGTGTCTGTGTGGGTTTCCTCTGGGTGCTCTAGTTTCCTCCCGCAGTCCAAAGATGTGTAGGCTAGGTGGATTGGCCTTGCTAAATTGCCCATAGTGTTCAGGGATGTGTAGATTAGGGGGATAGGTCTGGGTGGGATACTCTGTGTCAGTGTGGACTTTTTGGGCCAAAGGGCCTGTTTCCACACTGTAGGGATTCTCTGATAAGCTATTCTATGATAAAATCTTGAGGGGATTTGATACAGTGGATGCCAGACAAGTGGAAATATTGTGGGGATTATTAGTACTAGGGGACATAGATAAAAACTGAAGTCTCCCTTTAAGACAAAGATGAAGAGAACTTTTCTTCTGAGGGCCATTAATATATGGAATTCTTTTTCATTGAAGGTAATGGAGGTTGGGTTTTTACATTTATTCAGGCTGTGTTACGTTTTTGATGGACAAGGGAATTGAGAGTTATGCTGTGCAGATGGAAAAGTAGATTTGAGACCATAACCAGATCAGTCATGATGTTATTGAATGGTCAGGTATGCTGAAATGGCCAAATGACTTATTCCTCCAAAGACCTGTGTTCTTAGTCATTTGTGTTTAACTGAGTCGTTGAAATTTAACGTACATGTGGATACGTGACCCAGTCCTCAGATATGTTTTTGTTTCCATTGCTGAATATCAAGTTGATGCTTAAGGTCACACTTATTTATTGGCTGTGCCACATCCTCCCTCGTACAATAAAATTCTTTGCAATTAGGTTTTGCATATAATTACTCAATAAATAATTGAAAAAAGTGGAAGAAAAATATTTTTAATACAAGTGTCATTGTAATATTATGTAGCTACAAAAGCAAGAAATATGTTAGGAATTCTGCATGAAGTAACTCACCACTTTACCCCTAAAAGATTGTCCACCCAAAAGGCACAAGTCAGGAATGTGATGGAATACTCTCCACTTGCCTGGATTAGTGCACCTCAACAACACTCAGGAAACTCAACAGTATTCAGGGCAAAGCAGCCCCTTGATTGTGCCCTGACTTCCCCCATCACCATTTAACACCTTCAAAATTTACTCCCTCCACCACTGATGCACAGTGACCTCAGTGTGCCCCATCTACAAGATGCACCGAAACGACTTACTCATTAGGCAGCATCTTCCAAGCCCACGATCTCTAACTTTCTGAAGGATAACGGCAGCAGATACATAGGAAGACCATCACCTACAGGTTCCCCTCCAAGCCAAATGCTGTTCTGACCTGGAACTGTATAAATACTCCTTCACTGTTGCTGGGTCAAAGTCCTGGAGCCCTGTCAGCTCAAGAAGGCAGCTCACCACCACCTTTTTCAGGCCCAGTAAGGATGGACTTTCAATGCTG